AGTAAGTGGGAATACTGGTGCTACGTGACTCGAGTAGACTGTTACTTTCCAGCTTCCACGACCGATTCTGATGGGGTAGCGGTGAAGACGATTCTCCAGGATAACTCCAAAGATTTCGAGAAACAACTGGCCAAGATGAAGGAAGCCGCCGAGATTTGCATACAGAATTACAAGGTTAGTCTTGAAATCAATTTATTGATTTACAGATGAAGTCTTATGACTCCCGAGAGTACTAGTGCTTACCACCGTCTCTAGTTCTGCACGAAATTTTGACCATGTTTCTTTCCTCTTCGCATCTTTGAAGACACGTTCTGCGATTCCGGACGAATGGGTGGAGATCCACAACCACTGGGTCTTCCTCAATGATATTCCCCTTCTCATAATGCGGTCAAATGGGATGCACCAATAAGGAAGGAGCAACGACTATGAGTCTCCGCCCACCTCTCCGCCCAGCTGGTTTCGTGGAACGTGTCTTTAAGTTGTTTTACGGCTCACAATTTTGAGTTATACTTAACAATTCGTTTATTTAGCAGTTCCATCACCTCAACGCTGCATTTTCATGCATTCTCTAAGCGGTAGTTTAGAGAACGTTCCTTCCAGACTTTCAAGCAATATGGCGTACTTCTTCTACATTACATAAAATACACATTCAGTACAATTATGGTATGCCGAGCTAAGTACCCCTCTCTTTTAGAAACAACTGCTCCAAAAAGAAGAAGCTCTGAGGATATTCCGTGAACTCGCTGAAGAGAAACTCGCAGCCAGCTCGCGCCCAATCGTTGAGAAAGAAATCATTCGTGAGGAAGTGCGAGTGAAAGACGAAGAAACTGAAGAGCGCCTCAAACAGTCGTTTGGAGAAGTCGCTAGACTGAAGGTGAGTGGCTGTTTAGTAGACTATGTTCATACTTCGCGATTCGAGCGAATCAGTCGCGCAATTAGAGATCTCAGCTCATTTGGGCTACCAACCGTGCTCCAGCGCTAACTGTTGAACCAATGGTCAATGGTCATGGGTAGTTTCTCCCAAAATCTGCTTTCATTGGCAAGCGTAGGGCGAACAGTCGCATGGGAGCGCAGCGTTAGTAATTGCCACTATTATCACACCTCGCCATACCGTAATCTGCTCCAGACAACTCGTCTTCGCCTAGTCTATAATAGAAGCCGCAGTGTAGCAGAGGCAAAATTGACAAGGAAGTTCAAAGAATACAAAGAACAGCTCAAAAAACCGACGAGAATGTTTAATCGCGCCCTCGGAGCGCAGCTGGGCGTATGAGCTAGCGTCTACCGAATGAGGGCGATCAAGCACATCATGAGATTGGCTAATGTAGACGATTGTCGCGGAGCAAGATCAGGTAGCGGAGGCCTGTTGAAGGCAAATTACGCGCGGGCGCGCCATACTCGCCGAACACATTCGGCAGCTCTAAGGAGGGTGTGCTTAAGGAGGGTTGGCAAGGCGGTCTGTCGCAGCTCTACGATCAGGGCACCTCATTCCAGTTCTGTGAAAATATTCAATATGCCTACTCGCCACACCCAAAAATTCCCTTTCCCGGTACAGCCCCACTTTTGTAGAACCTGCTACCCTCTTACCAACCCAAACTGTCCCTAAACAAACCACCTCTGGGTATGATGTCCCTGCCACCGTTCCCAGATCGTGGTTCGGAGATCGCTCCAGTTGCCGATGTATGAGAATAACTTGAAATACTTCTATCGCTGAACTTTCAAATTCAGGAGGAACTCGAAGAACTCGAAAAGGCAAACCGAGCACTATACCGAAAACAACGACAGAGTGTTACCACCGCGCTGAATACGGTAGGTCTACCCTAAAAATAACGCCACATTCATACTGTCTAGAATTATAAACTTTTCGAGTAGATTTTCCTTACTGCAGACCTACCACTCTATAGGTCGAATGCCAAACAGATACACAAACAGAAGATACGGCTCCTGTCGAGAAGGATGTCAGCATAGATAAGAACGAACAGTCACGGAACTCTCCGGAGATGGACGATTTCGAGCCAAGCACGGTAAGGACTCATCCTTCAAGATGTCGAGTTTTTTGGGTGAAATGAAACTTCCAGGAAAAGAAAATGGAAGCGGAACGAGCGAGATACAAGAACGAAATTAAGCAGTTGCAAGGAAAACTTCGTCGATTGGCACTGAATAATAAGGTTTTAGGGCGTAAATCGCGTACCCGAGATACCTATTATACGACAGCGAGAATTTATCCCAGGAACACTTCTCTCGTTTCTAGAATTGCCTTCAGACATGTTGCAAAAGATCGGGATAGACCGCTCTGGCCTGAGAATCAGCTGCTTCGAAAAGCGACAACGAGGATCAAGGAGTCAGACGAACAAGCCATGTTAAAGATACGGTATGTAAACTAGGGTAGAATAGGCTGAAAAACCTTAAGAGGGTAGAAAATGAGGTGGAAAATAGAAGGTGGATCCTCTCCAGCCGCAATACACTTCTATGCAGTCCTATCTCGAGGGTGACAAGAGGCCGACCTGGCTGCCAAGGCCTGGCAAGTCCAGACGAAAGAGAGGCGGAGGCGGTACAATTAATTCCGACCTGCGCAGAAGCTGGGGCATCAGGAGGCTGTTTGGTGCGGCACCCGTCTCAGGGCACATGTCAACCGGGAAAGCTTCTCCCCTCCTTCCTTTTTCTCCCTCCTTCCTTCTTTTTCTTCCTTCCTTCTCTGATCCCTCCTCCTTTACCTTCCCCTTCAACTGCTGGACTGGTAGATGCCCTGTGAATCAAGCACCCTGGACCCTCGCAAGCGAGAGATCGGTCTGGATTGCACATCTGCCCCGTAACCCTGTCGGCCACCAGCTCCGCCTGTCACACCACTTTTTTTGGCGCCTGTCCCCTTCGACAATTCAGTGAGGTCGGGCTAGCGCCGCGCCAACCTGCCTACCGGATACGCCTTGAACTGTGAAGTGTGTCTGCATGTACAAAAATCGAAAATTTTGGCGAAATTACACCTAAATTCTACTGGTATATCTGAATCAGCGTCGCAATGTGCGGCCGCATCCCGCACATTCAACCCTGGTTCAGATATACAGTAGAATTTAGGTGTAATTCCCGAATTCCTTTGCAATTTATGCAAACAGCTTGCTCAGATACGATCTTGAGAGAATACGGAAGGAAAACAAAATGCTGCGAAAAACAGTTGACGAGCAAAAGTCGGCTCTTGATAGTTTGAAGAAAACAACGGAACAAGGACAAAAGAACCCCGAGGTAAACTACAGTAACTCTTCAGAACTTCAGGTCAGATCAGATCTTCTGTAACAACATTTTCAGTCGGAAATTTCGAAATGGAATGAACGAAAGAAACTTGAGGAAAATTTGAGTTCTGTGAAAAGGAAACTGTCGTCAGCTCTCGAACGCGAGAAAGAAGCTCCAGGAGCGCCTTGGCAAACGAGACAGAGTCATAGCCTGAACTGAGAAGGGACGACGAGTTACTGAAGAAGGAACTCGATCGTGCTCAGCGGAGGGTCGCGCAGATTCAGGAAGAGAAGGTAAGCTTTCGTACTTCAAAAGCAACCTCTGACGTCATAGTGCAGAAGCCATTAGGTTACGTTCACAGTTCGCGACACGGGCGATCCCAAGCGATTCAGTGATTTTGTGTTTAGCGCTGGAGCACATTTGTCATCAACGAAGTGCTTACCGGAACCGGTTCTTCGAGCTCCACGGCTAATCGCTTATCTCTCAATCTGCATGGTCGCTTCACACCTTTAACTAGCCACTGACTCCAGCCGCAAACTATGAACGCAACCACATTCTATAACTTCGCGGTGATCAGTGAGGAGGTGGGCGGGGGGGGGGGATCTGCAAGCGTGAACTGTGCACATGTGACTGTCTGACAGCCTTGTCAACACCCAGTGAGTCTTGTCATCACCTGTCAAACGCCCTGTAAATTCCTAAATTTATCAAAATGACTGGCCAAGGTCTAATAAAATGAGATATGGTGTTCAAATGACGCCTGTACCATTTTGTCAAGCTCAGCAGGAGTTCATATGGTATTTGACAGGTTTTACAAGACTTCCAGGCAGGGTGAGACAGTTGTGAAAAGCAAAGACACATATCGTCAAGGTACTAACACCCCCTCTCCCGAGGTTATGACTTGGCCCATTGAGCAGAGTACCCTCGCTTCACCTCGATTGCCTTTGTCAAATAGTTTTGAATGCTTCCAGGATGAATTATTGCGGAAGAACCACGACAGGTCAAAGTTGAAGTCCCGTTTGAACGAGAAGGTCGACGAATTGGAGAAAAAGGCTGAAGTGGGTTCATAACTAGCGCTTTCTCTAGCCTCGAAACTGCCTCACTTCAAGAAAATGTTGTTTCAGGAAGTCTCCGCACTTTCCATTCGACTAGAAACCCTTCAAGAAGAATATTCAAAATTAACGAGGGAGTATGAAAGGACGAAGGCTGAGCTCGAGCATCGGGAAGCAGCTTCTCGACGAGTGGAACTTTACTCAAAAGCAATTCAAGTCAAACTGCGAACAAGGCAGTCACTTGGGCGTCTACCCAGTGCACACAGACATCGGACCATAAAGTCACTCAAATAGAGAAAGTAGACAGAGCTGTAGAAGTTCGAGGGGCAACTCGACCAGAACAACCGTCTGAAATGAAAGTGATCGTCGCAATGGATGACACACTCGTATTCCAGTTTGAGAGAAAACCAAGAAAACATGGAGAATGGTAACTTTTTAGTTGTATTTGCGCTTAAATAATTCATAATTATACAAGTAATTTTAGTACCGATTTTCACTTTGAATTCACCCTTTTCAAAAAAACCAAATCTCGTCCTTTTCAAAACCAAATTCACCCTTTTCAAACCAAATTCACCCTCACTTTTCATCAAGTTAACCACACTTATTAGGGCGGGCAACTCATCAACCAGATCACGCCAGACATCACTGCCCCGACGGCCACGCCCACTTGTCAGCGCGGACATAGATTCTCAAATCTTGTTTCATAACTTCTGCTTTTGCTGTTTCCCACAAACACTTTGACTGGAAACCACCGTGCATTCACACATGGCCGACTCCGCCCATTCTCTAAAGGGTTTGGCACTCTAACACTGACCACGCCCACTTGCTTTTTGCGGATAATTTTTTTATATTTTTGCATTTTTGAACTGCCCCATGAAGCCCCGCCCACTGTGAGAGGCTCCGCCCACTTTGAAGAAGCCCCGCCCACTTTTCAAAAATGGTGCAGATCGGCAGTATAGAGCCTTGGCTTGCATGCTTAGGGTTGCCTTCATCATTTCGATTAAAACATTTGCCGATTTTTTGTTCGAATGACGTAAAGCCGAGACCCTAAAAATGCAAGCCAAGTTTCTACACTGCGTTTGCACACTTTTTGAAAACCTGGCGGGGCCTATCTTCAAAAGTGGGTGGAGCATGCTCGGCAGTGGCGGGGCATTCAACGCAGCCCAACCCTCGACATTCCGCGAAAAGCCAGTGGGCGTGTCAGGCCTGGGTGCCAACCTCTTTAGAAGAATGGCGACGTCGCCATTGTGAGTGCACGGTGGTTCCAGTCAGTGTGTGGGAAACAGCAAAAGCAGAAGTTATGAAACAAGATTTGAGAATCTATGTCCGCGCTGACAAGTGGGCGTGGCCGTCGGGGCGGGGCTCGCAGTGATGTCTGGCGTGATCTGGTTGATGAGTTGCCCGCCCTAATAAGTGTGGTTAACTTGATGAAAAGTGAGGGTGAATTTGGTTTGAAAAGAGGATGAATTTGGTTTGAAAAAGGACGAATTTGGTTTGAAAAGGACGAATTTGGTTTGAAAAAGGACGAATTTGGTTTGAAAAAGGGTGAATTTAAAGTGAAAATGGTATATACAGTCTCATCATTCTGCGGACCGGTGAGGCGTGGCATGTGCGCGCTAGGCTGCATTTGTGCGGTTTGGCAAAGTCGTTCTGCACCAGTTTTTGAAGCGAACAAGTGCATTGCTGTATAATATCCTTCGTATTGCTCGTCTTCTACCACTTTTTGTCGCATACGCGTTGCAACAAAAAGGCTGAGAACGGCTTCAACAGTGTGCGCACTCCTTCTGGCTGACACGCCCCACCGGTCCGCAATGATGAGGACTGTATATCCATGGG